TATATGTTTGGCATCGATGTTGCAGATGCAGCACCGTTTTCAAAAAACAGTGCTACTGGTGTGTGGGTTGGAAGACAAAAAACAATGCCTTTTTTTTGTTTGGAATCGTTGCTGAAAGGTAGGACATTTCCTGAAACAACAACAATTTTTTCTGTTTAGTATCAATACTCTAGGAAACGTTTTCCGCACTTCTACCCATTATCTAGTGTCACATCACTGCCATATCACTGTCCCATTGGCAGCAACCAACTGCAGCTCCAAGAAACACTAAATTTGGTATTGCTCCAAGCAATTACTTCCCGATTTCCAAGACATGGCTTAGAGCACCGTTTTCTATAAAAAAACGGTTTCAAATAGATGGCTATTTCTTAGAATACCATTTTTTTCTACGTGACACTGATGTGACTCTCTTTTCTAGAGCAACAACAACGGTTCCAAAGAGACGCTATATTGGTTGCAAGACTAGGGACTACACACTATTCTTTTTTTAATAAGATATCTATGTCCCAAGTTATCTGCCTCACTCACATTAACTTCCCTGCAGAAAGAATGTTAATGTCTCTTCCAATAAGCACCAAGTTTACCTTCATTATGCTTTTTTCAAGTGAACACCGACCCTTTTGGGTCCTGAACTGTCATTATCATTTTCATCATTGGTTCTGGGTTTGGCCGATGCTTCTTGTTCCACGATTCTAGACAGTGTTTCTTCACGAGACTGTATACATCGATCTATTGGAGCTTCTCTGTATTGTCTAATTAAGACACCTCACCTTCCTATTTCCTATTGAGGTCCATTACCTTTTTCTGGGTTTTAAAACCCTTTATGTAATTTGAAGGTAAGGAGAATTAATTCCTCTTTTGGGTCTGATTTATAGTTTACTTTGATGTTGTAACTGAAGATGTTAAAAGGTTTTTCTTTCTTTCCTCTTTCTCTCTCTGTGTTGTACTCATTGTTGTAAGCAAGTTAGAGTTTCGTCCCATCATTATGGTTTATAATCCATAGGGTGAGAATTGTTCGGTTAAAATCGAGAAACCGAATCAAAATTTTCGGTTTCGATTTATTTGGTTCAGATTTTTCAGTTTTCAGTTTTTTTTGTTCGGTTGATTCGGTTTTAAAAAATTTTGGTCTTGGTTTCGATTTTCAGAATTAAAAATTCGGTTAATAAAAAACCAAATTAAATAAAATTTATTATATACATAATATAATATATATTATAATATGTATATAATATATAATATATATAATATTAATATATACAATATACATATGTTATAATATACATATATATATATATTAATATATAATATAATATGTATTAGTATAATATTAATAAAATTTGGTTTTATATTTTATAAATTCGGTTTTTCATGATTTATTCGGTTCGGTTTTTAATCAAATGCTCATCCCTAGTTATCCATTAATGAATGTCTCTTTTATGGTTAAGAATTGAAGTCATCTAAATGTGTCTAGATGTCTCTCTGGTGAATTTTCTCTTTCTCTGTCCTAAGACGCAGCACAGTACTTCACCGTGGGTAGGCTTATCAGACGACCTAAATTTCATCTGGTCTCAAATAATTGTTGTTCCCAGTAACTCAATTCCTGTTAATTCAATAGACTTTTAGGCTGCATTTGAAAGTGTAAAATGGTTTATATAAATCTGTGGCATTATGTGTCCATGCATCTTATGCCATTTTGAGAGTAGGACAGAAGCTGTTTCTTTTTCTTTTCTCTTGTTGATAAATCTGTGGCATTATGTGCCCATCGACTTCAGTAAGTAGGGGGAAGTTATGTCTAGTACTCGATTTGATAAATCCTAAATTTTCATTGTTGTGGACTAAAAATAACATATGCATGGTATACTTATGTTTTTTATCTATTTCTATCTTATTGTATTAGAAATATGGTTTTTAAAAACGAACCGGTCAGGGGTTCGGTTATCGGTTTGAACGGTCCGACTGTTCGACCTGAACGGTTGGCCCGTTCTGACAAAAAAAATTAAAAAATTAAAAAAAATTGGAAAACGGTTCGAATGGTTCAAACAGTTAACCGGCTGGTTCAGCGATTTACTGACCAAAATCAACGATTTTGGGGGAAAAAGTGATTTCGAGGGAAAACAAAACCAGTTAAGTAACTGGTTCCCGGTTTTTCCGGTCCGACCGTCCAGTCCGGTCCGGTTTTAAAAACCATGATTAGAAAAATTGAAGGAGAACCCTCAATTTGTGCAACTTATTGAGACTTTCTTGTAAGAAGCTGCTTTGAGAGGAAGCTGGACATGAATATGTTGGAGGGGACATTCTTGAGCCAAGGGAAGCTGATATATTTACCTTGTTTTTGGTATTGGTTGTGCTTCCTTTGGTTACCTATATCTTACTTGGAAAGTGGAATGAGTTTGCAAAGAAGGAGTGGATAAGCTTGCTAGCTTAGTTGGCAGCCAAAGATGCCTTCCATGCAGAGGCAATGTCTAGCTGCTGCTGCCTGCATTATTCTTATCTTCTAGAGGTCTTTTAAATTTGTGGGAACTGGTAGTGTTGTATTCAATTTCCCTCTACTTACAGTCTTGACCATGAAGTTAGAATGCAAAATTCAATAAGTAGAGAAATCTATGTTAAACTTTTGCAAGTAATAGAAGATAAACATTATTGACAACAAAGATGAAGATGAAAATTATCCTCCATACTCAGACAAGAGCTGGTAGAAACTTATGCGTGAAGACCGCTACAGCACTTGGTTGAATTTGAATATATTGATGTCTTACGTACAGTTTTATCTAGCTGTTATCATCATCCTTACATGGTGTTTTATTTTAAAAAAAAAAAAGAGAATAATTGAAGAGAGACCAGCTTATCTATTGGTACTTAATTGGTATTCGTGCAAAAGATTAATTAACTTCAATTGGTATTCATGTAATTCATTGAGTATATCTTCTGTTGGATCTAAAGTCTGAAACCATATATAACTCTACCTAGGATTAAGGGTTCTCTTTAATTTGTCATTTCTTATCATGCTCTATTAATTCTTCTGTTGCTAATGCCGTGTTGCAATACTTGACTTGCACAAAGCCCCTTATTGTCAACTTGCTTTGAAAATCACATTCAAGAACCTGTATGTGCTTGGCTTGCTTTTCTTATATCAATGTCCCTAAGGTTGCGTTTGGTTGGAGTGCAAATTTGTACTTTGGTTTAAATTTGCATTCGTTTGATAAACTTAAAAAATGCATCAATTTTCGATGCAAAAATGTATATACATCCGAATTTAAAAAAATAGAAGTAAAATTTGTTATATTTGTCGATCTAAGTAAATGGAAGATAGTTTTTGCATTCATTCGCACGTGAAAGAGAGACAAAGGTTCTGAGCTTCAATAAAGGGTAACCATCTCTACTTTCGATTTCTGAAAATGAGAGATGCAACTCTATTCTTACTTTCATCTATTGATCTCTTAAATTTTGTTTTTTTCATTTCGAGGTCGCTTATCTTCTCACCGGAATCTCTCTATTCATCGTCCTCTTCCTCAGACGCCGTGCAAAACGAAGCTGAACTGCGTTTTCTTCTCACAGTTGCTCCAAACAACCTCAGGTATTTCCTTCTTCATTGGGCAAAACGAAGTTGAACTGCGTTTTCTTTACACGGTTCCTGTGTTTTGTATTGGAGATTTACCTGACACAGTTCTCATTAGAAATAACAATTCATGAGTAAGCAATTCTCTTGTCTTGTCCCAAAGTTCGAGATAGAACTACACTGGAAACTCATTCATCCGATTCCAATCCTTTCTGAAATGCTTTGTAGAGATGAAATAAAGGGAACTATTTTCAGTATTTCACATGGCATCCAATTGTGCAATTTCCTTTTTCTCGACAGAACCATGCTTATTTTGATGTTCTTGCTACAGGTTCATGGTCTTGAAAATTAGCTCAAAGTTTGAACTGCGGCGATTTTGCCGTACTACAGGTTCTGTTGCTCTTGTAAGCTTCATCATCTCATTATCATCCTCATCTTTTGTAATTTTCCAATTTCAAGGAAATCCTTCCTGTTATTCTGACTGATATAATTTTATAATCTTGGCCATAGTTGAAGCTGAGCCATCCAAACCCAGACGAACTGGGATATGCTGATTCTATTTCGGTAGAGGAGATTGGTGGTGTTCGGGTGTTTTCCATTATTCATAAGTGCTATTATTGAAGGTTTTTTTTTTTTTTGGTTTTATCCTCTCTTTACCTTCAATGTATGTATTTCCTCAATTGATAGGTAACGGTTGTGAAAAACGAAGAGGGTGGAAAGTGGTTTACGGGGAAGTACTGACAGTATACTAGATGACCTTGAAAGAGCAGTTGATGATGGTGTAAATACATATAAGGTATTCATGCTTCGCATTTTCTTTTGGCACATTAACCTTGTAGCAGAATTTAAACGTTGACGACAATAAAAAATGAATTCTGCTGCTCAACCTGTTTCCATCAGCTTTTGGATCAATGATAATTTCTCTGTCTCAGGCTATGTGCAGGGACAGTCGCATAATCCCTGGGGCTGCAGCAAATGAAATTGAGTTGGCAAGAAGACTGAAAGAATTCTCTTTTAAGGAGACAGGGTAACTCTTACTTTCTCTTCCTTTTCCCTTTGTCAGTTACCTTCATAGCCATAACTCTTGGATTCTCCTACATGAAATTGGTTCCAGTGGTTTTATATTATCTATGAGATGTCTTGAACTCGTTACTGTCTGTCATGGAAATTCAAAACTAAATTTTTTGATGTTTCTCACGGAAAGAATCACGTTAGTGAAAACAAGGATATGGAATGCAGGTTGATACTACTATCTTTATGGTATCAAAACACACTTCTTTTCTCTTGTTCAATATTTCAGCATTGAGCAGAAAACTGCTCATGTTACATCACACATTGGTGAATGTTTACTTTCTTCTATGGTTATGATTTTTATGCCTTTGTTGTTTTCCGTGTCCTGTATAGTTGCTGAAGTTAAGGTACTTCTGCTTGCAGATTAGATTAGTATGCTATTGCAAAGTTTGCTGAAAGCTTTGAGATGGTACCTAAAACTTTGGCTCAGAATGCTGGGCTGAATGCAATGGAGATCATTTCCACCCTTTATGCAGATCATGCAGCTGGAAAGACAAAAGTGGGTATTGACTTGGAGGAAGGTGTTTGCAAGGATGTAACTGCTATGGATATTTGGGACCTCCATGTGACCAAGTGAGCACTTCATATTGTCTATTTCCTAGAACCATTTCTATATCTTACCATGTAACTTTTTTCATTGTGGAGTATCATCCATGTGTTGGTAATAATGTTTTGTCAAATGCTTCATGGGGTTTGGACTCGGATACAACTTGGTCAAATAGGCTTTGAAGGTCCAGTAATAAATATCTTGTTGGGCACATTTGAACGGAATATTAAACTACCAATTTTTATCTTTATTCTGCGTGGTTCAACTCCCGTTAGGTTGTTCAACTCTTCTCCTAAATAAGTTTTGTTTATTGATGGTGATTAACAACAACCAGGTTAGGTCTTATAGTATTATATGCTAGAACTGATATGAAGGGTGAATAAGGTGCAAATTGAAATAATGCTTTGTAGTTTCTTCCACCAGGAGAGCTGGAAACCATCCACGTTATTTTAGGATTAGGATTTAGAATGATTTAAGCATGTTTATAAAGATTTATAGTGTTCCTCCATTTTTGTTTCTGTATATTATTTGCTACTGATTATACTGGAATCATGACTTAATCATCTTTGTTGGATATGTTGGCAGGTTCTTTGCCCTCAAATAAGCGGCAGATGCTGCCTGCACTGTGCTTCGGGTAGACCAGGTAATCTCATGTATTACTGAGAATTTTCATCCCCTAGATACCTTGCTGCAGAGATCACCTGATAATGCATCAGCACTTGGTAAATTTTTAAGACTGCCTATTGTGATTACAGATTATAATGGCAAAACCAGCGGGTGGTCCAAAGAGAGATCAACCTGCAGCGGTGGACGAGGATTAGCTTTTGACAAGGTAATTAATCTCTACAATTGGGTGCCATGTGAAATATTGAAAATAGTTCTGTTCTGGGTCTTGTAGCCTTTCTAAGTACAGGATGATTTCTCCCACTGGATTTTCTTCTGGGTCTGGTTTCCTTGAAGTGTGCTTCATTTTTAATGGGAAATCAGTGTCATTTAGTGCTGGAAAGGATGAACCTCTGCACCTCTAAGGAAGGGCATGTTGGGGACGGTCCTTGCTGCAGATTGAAGAGAATCTACAAGAGGAAGGGGGTGAAAATCATGGCTAGAGGTCAGAATTCTCTGGAGGACAGAGGTGAATCAAATTCTTTGGAAGTAGGCTTGGTCAAAAAGGCGTCAGGATTAGTTTCAACTAAACAAAAAAATTGAAGTCTCGCCAGGGGAGGAGGAGAAAGGAATAAGATAAAGTTTTCTGAAGGGAATGGAGGTGAAGAGAATGAAGTTGGGAAAGAGGACGTGGGGGAGGTGACTGTTGATAGAGTGGGGAAAGGCGAAAGATTGGGAGATTTGAATGTACATTTCCAGATAACTAGGGAGAGACATCCATGTGTTAAGCCGAATAGGTGCTTCAGATCTATGCGGGTCTGATTCCAATGTTGGAGCGTGTTAGGCCTATTTATTAGATGATTTATGTCACTAATTTTTTTTGTTCCTTTATGTGACAGGATGCCCGGGCTGTTAATTCTATGCCTTTTGGAAGCTCCATAGTTCCTATTCAAAAAGAATAGTCGTTGTATTTGCATTGATGTTGGAGCTAATTATTTTTTATATTTGTTTAATGATGAGAGTAGCTGGAACACCATGTGTTTGCAAGAAACAGTTGTATTTGCATCGATGGAAATGCCGAACATCCACAAAAATTGTATCCTTATTTGCGTCTGTCAAAACAAATGAGCTGAGTGCAAAGTGGGTATGTAAATCTTGAAGCACTTTGCACTCACATGAACCAAACATTTTTGTTTTGCATTCTACAAATTTGCATTTGTACTCTAACCAAACGGAGCCTAAGGCTTAGTTTGGAAAGAGTATAAATACAAATTTGTAGAGTGCAAAAACTTGTATTTTGTATGTATTTGCAGTATACATATTTGTATTTATACTCCTTCCAAACTGAGCCTAAGCTGTAAATAAGTGTATTTGATGCTTTGTATTGTTGTATGATATACATGACTTCTTATGTACCCTGCATACAGTAGGCTACAGTTTCTCATGTGTGAACTTTGAGCAATATGTCATGATTTTACGAGAAGGTGGAGGCCCTTCATGCATGTATCTCTCACTCCCTGTAATGGTTTTCCATTTACAAAATTAAATGATGCTAGGATATGTTTGTTGTGGCATTTAAGAATGTTGAAACAGGAAATAATAAATGATGCTAGGATCTGTTTTTATGATGAATATTTAGTAGTGCTTATAATTGCCATTATAGAGGTTTTTTATTAGGGGGCGTTCTTTTTCTGGATTATGAGAGGGGGAAAAATTGGACAATGGGATTTTGATTACTATTGACCAAGAATCTCATTTTCTTTTTATTTAGATTTATGTGAGGATTGGGGAAAGTTTATTTTCCTGGGAAGTGATACCCATCTCCTAGGTGGATAAATAACTTTCCCACCTTGGGGGAAGTTGCCAATACTTGAATGGGACAAAAATGCCCATTATAGTAATGGATTTCTATGACTAAAATGGTCATTGGCTAATTTACATGGGAAATAAAAGAACATGGGTAAATGCACTTACCCACCGAAAAGCGAATAGGGACTTGGTGTCATTTAAAAGGGAATTGCCATTGAAATTTATAATAAATGCCACTATTTAATGTCATTTGTGGCATTTAGAACCACCACTAATAAAGGAAAGAAAATGCCATTAAAAGTAGATTTCAGTGGCATTTTAATAAGTGCCGCTAAGGCCTCGTTCGCTTTTCGATAAGTTATTTACCCGGGTAAATGCAATTACTTAAGTTTTTGCTGGGAAGCATTTACCCGGGTAAGCACATTTACCCATGTTCTTTTATTTCTCAAGTAAATAATGCAATGACCATTTTAGCCATAAAATTTATTATTAAAAGGGTCATTTTTGTCCCATTCAAGTGTTTTGCAATTTTACCTCTAGGTGGAAAAGTTATTTACCCACATAAATTTAAAAAAACAAAATTAATTAGTGGCACATGATAAAAAATATGATTATATGCTCTCTAGTGGCATTTTTACCCATCTTTAATTGCAATTACAAACATTGCTAAATCCCAACGTTGTAGTGTCCATTGAATAATGTAGATGAGATACATCCACTTCCAAAGGATGAAAGGAGTACCTAAAGGCCCTCCTTAATTTACATTGAAAATTTTAAACTTTTAGGCAGTTTTCCAAAAGCCAACTAGACCACATGGGAACCAGACTGCCTGAGAAAACTGAAAATTATGATTATTTTGGTCAGGTAATTAATTGACTGTCAATCCAGGCAATAAATTGATACGCTTGATATTCAAAAGTTGAGTTTGGAGTGTTTAATATTAATCACTTTGATATTCTATTTTTTATTTTTTTTATTCTTATAACTTTTAGATATATTAATTATGATGAATACTAAATTTAAATTTATTAAATAAGCCTAACTCAATATTCAACATATCTGTGACCTACTGATATATATCGTACGATATACATCGATACGGTTGTGATAGCTTTTGAATCTTAATCAAAACTTTTTTTTGTTTATACAACATATATAAGAGACCTGACTATCCTATTGGAACTAGAGAAAGCAATTCTTGCCACTTAAATTAAATTTAGGTTATTACTCTTTAATTTGAATTTGATGATGAGGGCTGCTTCAGTTCAATTGGAGGTACTGACGAGGAAGTTCCAACGTGTTTTGGTTTATTGGATGTAATTTCCTTGAGTGGGGTTATCATTATCTTATCTACGGTTGTCAACAGGTCAGGTCTGCATTGGGGTAGGGTGGTCCCAGTCCCGAACTGATTATTAATAAAGACAAAATTATAGATTCAAAGCAGTCTCAATTAATAATTAATTTGGATAATTGGGTCTGATTATTTATTTATCTAAATAATTTCTTAAAATTTAAAATTTGATATTATAACCTTAATAAAAATGATAATAAAATACTAAATTATTTATATGTTAATTAAACATTTTTAACTAATATTATCTATCAAATTTATCATTTCAAACATAAAATATAATAAAATTAACTTGAAAATAAAACCATTTTCTTCCCTTCCTATTGTCCTATTGGTGGGTAAGCAATTCAATCATTTAGTGTCAAATGGGTTAATAAATAATGTCATAATTAAATAATAAAAAATTAAAATATATAAAATATATAATATAAAAAAATAAAAAAGAATTGGGCATATCTCTAATATTGTTAATTCATTAATTATACTAAACAAAAATATGTATGAAATGTAAGAAGTATTTTTAGTAATGATGAAAATGGAATGACAAATTTAAAATCAACCTACAAATGAAATGATATCATAGTCAAATAATAAAATTATTAAAAATAAAAAAAAAAAACACAGAATAAAAAATAAAAAATAGAGAAAATTTTGGGTACATATCTAATGTTATATATTTATAAAAAAAATAAAAATATTGGGTACATCTCTAACATTATACATTCATTATATCAAACAAAAATAAGTTTTATACATAAGAAATAATTTTACCAATGATGGAAATGTAATACAAAATTTAATGTTAACCTAGATATCCATTTGGGTCAAATGGGTTAGTTGAAGATATGATAGTCAAATAATAAATCTTTACAAAATAAAAAAGTACAAATAATCAAAAGAATATGTAAAAAGTATATAGTAATTATGTAAAACAAAAATTAGCTATGATAAGTACAAATTATTTATAAAATATAGATGAGTATATAATTTAAAACTGATCTGAAAGCAAAGCTATTTTCTTATCTAGATGGTGGGTCAATGATCCAACTTTTCAAATAAACTCATGATATCATAATTAAATAATAAATATATATTTAAAAAAAGATAGAACACAAAAAATGAAAAAGTACAGAATTTTATAGAAAACATCTAGGAACATTTCTAATGTTATATATTCATCATATTAAAAAATAATTGTTAAAATAAAATATATTTTTATTTATGATAGAAATGGAATACAAATTTAATAATAATAATAATAATAATAATAATAATTGTTATTGTGATTTAAAATTTTCATGTGCAACACACATGCACATTTACTACAAGCATTTAAGTTTTTTTAATCATATTGTTACTTTTGTTAATTTTCAATTTCTATCTTAACTATGATATATCTAAATTCAAGTAGTTAATATGAAGAAAAATTTCTCACGTGCTTAATTACTAATGATCACCCTAGAACCAGAACCAACATAATTGATTCAATTCAAGTGAAGCGGTCAGTCTGAACTGACCCATTGATAGCCTACTCTTACAGTCTTACCAATAAAGGGTGTATATACACAAAATTAATTCCTATAACATAGATCAACTGAATTGAATGAAACAAAATTTTCTCAAAACTGGATTGGGCGTGCTTCAAGATGATTGAAATTAATGTGAACTCGGTCCATTGTAAACTATTACTTATTAGAGAATTTCCAAACAATGGCCATGCATGAATTGTAATCAATAGGGGTGTCAATGGTATTCGAAAGTCCAATTTCAAATTCGAGATTCAACATAATCAAATCAAATTCAGATGATTCGAATATCTAATCAAATGAATTCAAATATCCTATTCATACCGAATAGTAAATCTGATTCGAATTCAGATATGACCTGATTCGATTCGATAAATATCCGAATTCGACCAATTATTTAATTCTTATATATAATATATAAAATATTTAAATATCTTATAATATATATATAATAATTAAATTATATAAATAATTTATATATTTATATATTTTATATAAATAAAATATTTATTTTATATATTTATTAATTACCTAAAATAATTAATTAGTCGAATTTGAATAAAATCGAATATTCGAATGTTTAATCAGATTCGAATTCGAATATTAATTTTTAATATCCAAATCAAATTCAGATATCGCATTTTCTAATCAGATCGAATTCAAATTCGATCCTTTTACACCCCTACTAATCCAGTTCTTAAAATACGGATTAGACAAGTAAAAGAAAAATAGGTTAAAATCTTTTGCTTGGTAGTTGCTTCAGGTTGATTAATGAGCATAATTAGGGTTAATTTCTCACTATGCTCCCCGAACAAAAATTGCACTTAAGTTCTTTTTAACTTATACTGAAACCCTTTCAAGTAAAGATGATGAAATCACTTTTCTAGTTCAAACTTCTTTTCTTGTTGAGATAAATGATAACGATTAAGCTATATGCATCTTCTATATATGCTGCAAAGCTATATAATATTACATGGCCTACGTTAGAGAAAGAGATATATAGGCAGTGATAATGTTCTAAATTCTAGTAACTTACATACCAGTTGGAATTTTTGGAAATTTAATAAAACTTAAGCATTAATTAAGTATTAATTATGAAGCAAATACATCAGAACGATGGTAGTTCCAACCCTTTTCAGTGAAACTACTACTATAAGTTACAAAGAGAGGAACTATAAACTAATGAAATTAAGCCCACAGTTTACATCACAAGCAAATAACGAAGATCGGTGCCTTGGATAAGCCTAGCTAGCCTACCTCCTATTCCTGGTTTTGGGACGGCTGCAAGCCTGCAACTCTGGTTAAATCATCAGGTTGTGTTTTTGTTGTTGACCTTGGAAGATTCATTCACCAATCACAAACATACATTGTACATATTGGGATTTCTGCCACGTGCTAATCTTATGTTTATAGACCATCCTTTCGGTCTACAATAACCCCCAGATTCCTCCACCGAAGAAGAACCCATTTTAAATTCATAATTAAAAAATTGATCAATGCTTAAAAAAGTAAGTAAGAATGCAACAATAATTTCCAAAGTGTAGAGAAAGGCTTCTTTTTTAATTTCCAAGTAGGAGGTAACCACCCATATGAAAGATGAAAGAAAAAAAAAAAGAGGCCAAAAGGTGATAACTGATAAGATCATCAATCGATAAAAACTCAGAAGTAATGAGAAATGAGAAAAGTTCAGAAGAGAGATAAAAAAATAGAGAGAGAGAGAAAGAGAGAGAGAGAGAAAGGCTGAAAGCTCTCTCCTATGATGAAGAGAGAGAACATGTGAACCCGTTTCCCACATTATTTTAATATTCTCTCTCTTAAATATTGAGCTTGCTTGAGGAAAATCTAACACAAGGTCGCTTTCAGTTGCAATATATTTAGTCCAGATTATTTCGTATTTGTTTGCACGTCCTCTATAAACTATACAACTGCCCATCTGTCAACATGACGCCCCATATTAAAACCCACCCCTTCTGAGTTTTGCCTCTATCTTCTCCCTTCAAATTCATCCCCAATTCGTTCTCCCCTCCGGCGACTCTCACTTCTCTCTCCGAGGATCCCTCTTAAATTCCGGCGCCACCATGGATAAATCGCTCTTGTAGGCTTGTGGACATCGTGGAGGAATCAAGGGTTCGGATTAGCTGATATATATCCGCCACAGGAGATCACCAATTAATTCAAGTATTCGGCTGTGATCATGGATGGTAGATTCAGCAACCCTTTTCTTAGCGAGCAAGAAGACGCACGAAATATGCCGGAGAGAGTCACAGAGTTGCCGTTCTCCGCCATGATCAACGACGGGAAAATCTCTGCTACGTCGTCCCCGAAGAAGAGGTTAGTAGTTCAAAAGTACTAGAGCCCATTCAACGGTGTTCTTTTGCCGGAATTGCGTCCGATTCCGGTGAGGTAAAGAGCTTCTATGTTTTGTTTTCTCTGAACTTTATGTGCATAATTGAAGAAGAGATTTCTTCTTCTCTATTTCTCTCTCCTTCCTACAGTAGGCGGGCTGTACAGAAGAGGGTGGTGTCCGTGCCGATCGGGGACGTTGATGGGTCTCGGCTCAAGGGGGAGACAGCTCCACCGTCCGATTCGTGGGCCTGGAGGAAGTATGGACAGAAGCCCATCAAGGGTTCTCCCTATCCCAGGTAAGCTTCAAGCAGCTCAGCCTGAGCCCCAACTCCATCTTCTCTTCCAAAGCTCTTCTTCGGTTTTTTCATTCTCGGTCGGATCTGATTGATCCACGTCGAGCTCATCACAGCTACGAGACTTTCTCTAGTATTTGAATTTCCTAGGACAATATACATGTTAACAAATAAGTACCCCTTCCCTCCAAAATGAGCAAAAACAGTGAAAAACTGTTAGTTTCAGTAGGCTTTTAGCTTACTGAAATTCGAAGCAGTCGACCCGGAGTTCCGGTGCATCGTAGAAGGAAACCTTATTAAAAAACTAACATATGCGGGTATCATGGATCTTGTTAACCTGAGCCCACGAATTCCCCGGTGGGAGTCACTGTCTCAGTAACTTCTCCGGGTTGCTTTCTTCCGCCGCCGTAAGGGAGCAAGAGAAACACAGCTGGGATGACGTGACTCGGTTGCTCACTCGAGCGGCGGCTCATGTTAGCATGGACGTGATTATGCTAAGATGAGCCGGTGGTTTGATTTAGATTACATGGCTGAGATGGATTAATCGCTGTTTGTGTTTGTTTAATCTCTCGCAGAGGATATTATCGATGCAGCAGTTCGAAGGGCTGCCCGGCGAGGAAACAAGTGGAGAGGAGCCGCGTGGACCCCACGATGCTTGTTATAACGTACGCCTGTGAGCACAACCACCCATGGCCGGCGTCCAGGAATTCTAATTCTAACCCCAGCTCCGCCACCGGAGCCACCACTTTCGCCAATTCCAGCGACGCCGCCGGGGCCACAACTACCAACAGCGGCGGCAGCAGCCCCGCCTCCGCCACTACCGAGACTACTTCAATTTCAACCCCCAAATTCCCGCCAGAAGAACCGACCGTCTTCACGGGCCAACCGGAAATTGAACCGGACGAGAATAAGTTCGGTGATCTGGGCGAGGAACCAATGATGAGCAGCGATGATTTTAGCTGGTTTCCCCACGTGACATCCTACTCCCCCACCGTCCTCGAAAGCTCGATTTGCGCGGGAAGCAGTAACGGGGACGCTGACATGGCAATGATTTTGCAGATGAGAGAAGAAGACGAGTCGCTGTTCTCCGACCTCGGCGAGTTGCCGGAGTGTTCGTCGTTTGTTTTCCGGCGAGGGGTTTTCGAGCAAGACGAGGAGAAGTGCAGCTTGAGGGCGGCTCCTGTGTGGGGGAGTACAGGATAAGGCCCTGCACAGTACGATCCATTTCAACTCTTTCCGGATTCGGGTCAGAGTATTATAATCAGTTGATAGTGCGTATCGTGCGCGGTGCGCCACAAGATACAAAAATTTTTCGAAATTCTTTTCTTGCGTTGATTTTGGTGTAAAATTATAAATAAATTAAGGAAATAAAAAAGAAGGGGATATTTAATGAAGTGGATCATCATAGCCGTCCGTTCCCAACGGATCCCTTCTAACCTCACAATCAGAAATTCTTTTTTTCTCTCTTTGATAGCAGCAAGATGATTCGAAGGTTCGGATTGGGCGTGTAATAGCTTAAAAGGGTGGGGCCTGCTTGTTTAGCCAGGAGACCGAAAATCTTACTTTGTCCACTTTTAGCGATTGGCGTCGTAAGATGCAACTTTTGCAGTATATGGTACAAATAAAAAGGGAAAATTTTCGATTAATATCCGTATTTTGCCTCTAGTGATAATTTTATCTTAAATTTTAAAATGCCACATTTCAATATCCGAATTTTCGTTATAACGGACCGTCAGCCAACTCCATTACTTAACATTATGTACGGATTAAATAATTAAAAAATATTAAATTTATTCTTTTGATATTTTCAGATTATTTTATTCTTTTCTTAAATAAATAAAAGAGGAAAATTTTGACTCCCTGACATGCTCAATTGCTTCCTCCAGTTTATCCGATTAATCAAAAAAAAAATACAACTATAACATCATCTTGCAAAGAAGTTCATAAAATGTTGAAGTAAAAACATACCTGTGAAATAGAAAAGAAAAGAAAAAAGAAAGACAAGGAAAAGAGAATTCTATTTCTCTTTCTTACGATCAAACCTTTATATTCCGGTGAATAGTGAAGTGGGGGTTCAGGTTGAGACTTATCAGCTGATGCAGTGGCAGAGGGTACTAATGTCGTCGACGGCGAGTTGGCAGATCTCGATCTTGGGATCCATAGCCAGGGCTTTGTTAAGCTCCAACATGAAATCTATGTAATACCTGACGTATTTGTGGAGGGGTGCATTTGACGAATTGGTGGAGTCACCATGACCCATTTCAGAAGGCAGAATGGAACTTATCAGTAGGAGTGTAATATTGTAGAATTGTGAAATTGAGAAGTTGCAGAGAAAATGAGGATTGAGTCATATCACTTTGTCATTCTCTTTAAAATCGCATTTGCCCCTACGGTGTAGTATGATGATTGAAAATCGGTCGTCAAGATAAAACAACCTACAGGCCACTAGTAGACGTGCACTCGCTTACTAGATTTCTGTGAATCACAAAGAATTGATACTCAGATTGATAGAGAAGATTGTCGAAAATGTCGGTGTGTGAAAACTGGGTCAACTAACACTCATTTTATAGAGTGTTTTCGATCACCCAAATAGAACAATGCACATGTTTTAAGAGATATGAAAAAGAAAAGAAAAAACATTTAAAAAATTAAATTCAAAATTTAAAAGCTCAGCACGCATGTAAAATACACCCCCAGCCCTCCCTCACATGTATGGGATATATATAATGCTTTCCTCCTATAGGCCCTACCTGTAGAGAGAGCAAAACTATAAATATACCACACCTCTTATGAGTCCCTTTCCATACACTCAAAAGTGGAAAGAGAAAAAAAACAACTCAAAAACAAGAGAGATGAGAAAGATTTTTGAAATTTTAAATCTCCCTCCAAGAGGATTGTCATATCCAATTACACCCCTGACCTTCACCAGTTCTATTAGCCTCCTATGGCAGTTCAAATGGTTGTCCTTCTGTCCGTGTCCACAAATATGAAATCGAGCATTCCATGATACTTTCCCTGTAACTTGTACTACTACGGACATTCAAACCCCAATACAGAAAACGCTATAGAGAGAAAAAGAATGTATCGAGTTACGTAGAAAATGATAAATTTTTGCATCATAATCAAATAAAGTCGATAAAACAACCCTTCTTGTAATAAGTTATATAGAAAATGATAATAACAAAATAGGAAAAAAAAACCTTGCTTGTCTTCTCCATCACCGGCAACAAGTGGTCGTCTTTTCCAACAATGATATGATTAAAAACACTTCTAACAGCGGCAAATGTGTTCTATTCTGGTGATATTTTCCCAAATAAGTGAAGAAGATCTTTGTTGACGCTCTCCGGATAATTTCTAACTGATTTCAGCTTTTCCAGCGTCATATTCTGCTTATCAGCATCGGCGGGGAGAACTAGTCTCTTCGAATTGTTAGGGCACAGAGTGGTGAACAGTTGGAGAGAAAAGCTATTATCGTTGAGGTCATTTTTATAATTTTAAAAAATCATCTCATTCCGTTTTTTAGAACTTATACCAAATTGTGTGGCATTTTAAAGTTTAGGACCAAATTGGCACCAGACCTAAGATACTAATTATAAAGAACTTTCCCAAATAAAACAATATAAAGTGAAACTCCTTTTTCAGCATGCAAGCAAACCACTCTCTCCAATATATAGAACAATCCTGAAAAGCAGAAAGTGTAACTCATGAGGCTGCATATGAAGCCAAGCGTCTTTATGTTTGTATTAGAGATATTAGAGGATAAAAAAATGTACCAGTACATTTTTTATTTACCCAAACAGCTTGTTTTATAAGAAACGGAGTTTAAATTTCATATACAGTTCTCTTGAAATTGAGAAAGAGATCGCTTTGAATGCAAGTACATGATTGTAGTTGGGCACATTAAATAAACATTAAGAGAAAGAGAGAGAACGGGGGGCAGGGGGACACAATTGGACTATATATGAACTAATCAAATGGGATGAGATACAGGTAGATTCAAATTTCGAATTGATTTTTACCCATTAGATTAATGTCCGATTCAAATTGAATTCGGATTGTAATTTTGAATACTATAAATAGATTAAACTAAAAATGATAAAAATGGTATATAGTATTTATAAAATAAACTAAAAATGGCTTTAATATTATATTTTATGAATGAAATTAACTGAAAATTATTTATATAAAACTTGAATCTATAAAGATTTAGAAAAAAAACATAACATTTAAACCAACCTTTGGATACAATATAAATTTTAAGTATATGTATTTAAATTAAAACAAATCGAATCACCCTTTGGACCATGGGAAGCCATTTTCAGCCTTATAACCCAATTGGCCAGGTAACTAACTATATAGGAAAGAAGATTAGCAAAGCTAACCAACTAATAAGCTAAAGAGAAAATTTGTTAATTAAGTTGTGGAATCTTAATAAGTTAGTCCATTTATTATAGTTGACTTTGAGCTACAATTGTAAATTGCTCTTCCATTCACAACTGTTTTTGTCAACGGTTTTGGATCAGCACACATGGTAGTCTCCGGCCAGGATAAGGAGGGTTGTAATTACTCCGACCGTTTCCAGTGAGGACTGAGGAGAATCTTCATTTCTTTAAACCGTCATTTATAATTTTTTATTATTATTAGCTGTCAAATTTTAAATTAAACCCACAATAATTCGGTATTAATAAAAGCAATGGTTCTTGACTATGGAACCAAGTCTTTTGTCTAGCTTGAATCGCTCAACGACTTGGTAAGTCACTCAGCCCCTCCCCCCCCCCTAACTCACCGGGTTTCTTCATTGATTTATAAATCCAAAACTTACACGTGCTGCAGGAACATTTATATTTAGCAAGTGACGTAACCATTTGTCTGGTGCCTCGCTTTGCCAGGTTTGCCTTATCCATTCGAGCTTTGCGGGCCGACGATAAAGAAGGTGGTAAATAAAAATAAATAAATATTTCAGTACACCGCGATCTAATTTGTTAAACTATGTCACATTCTTATTAATGTAGGACATAGGATAGGAAAGTGGTCCCGACCATACCAGGTGTCACGTGGAATTGTAAGTATTGTTTTATTGGGAACTGGTGGTGTTATATAGATGGTTTTTTCGAAAAAACACCAATAGTTTTGATTAACGTTTTCAACATTGATCTATATTATTCAATATTCAAGATGATGTTATATTATTATATCATTGGCAGTAATGCATCATTTTCCTTGAAAACATTGAATTTGGTATTGTTCTAAACCACACTATTTCGATATCAAAGGCATAGTGTGGAGTAATGTTTTTTTTCTAGAAAAACAGTACCAATCAAAAAGGTATTATTTAAAGCACCATTTTCTCTGATGTGGCACCTAGGTGGCCCCGTTTTCTCATAGAACATCATTGATGCCAATCATTGCCTTAATAATCAGTTAATAACGTCAGTCTAATGAGAAACATGGAGAGAGATCTACCGATAGACTCCGGATCTCCTGCCCACAACAACTCTACTCATGTCTAATCACAACACCTGTGCATAATATTATGTAAGAGGGTGAGACGTTCTTGTCATTGCAATGTTATGTAGGTAGATGTGGGTAAGAGATCCAAACTCACACCGATAAGATAAGTTGGAAGCCTACCCAAGCGACACAAAACAAGACCCAGGAATAGGAGATTCCAGACCTAGTCCCAATGCAAGGTCCAACAACCGGTCCAAACAGTCATTTGCAACCATGTATTAGGAACATCTGCTTTGTCTTTCATGGCAAAATGTTCTCAATGTACATCTACAATGGCCGTTAGTGATTGTATTGGATCGGGTCTCTCTTTCTAATAGGGGTGTAATGAGTTGGGTTTAAACTCAAACCAGGCTTAATCCTAAGAATTGGGCCTAAGGCCTAAGCCCGAGGCCAAGTTTAAATTGTTAAATCTAGGCTTAGGCTGATCCACATCAAATTTTAATATAAATGTTATGTATGCATGTATGCATGTATGCATATATCTATAGCTTATCAAAAAGAAAAAAAAAAAATACATGTGTTTGTATATATATAGGAGAGCCAACCTCATTATGACTCGAAAGATTAAAAAAAACAAAAATCTTTAACTTTTATATCCAAGCCCGGCCAAATAGGGGGTGTTCACGAGTTGGGTTGGGTCGGTTTATTGGGGTTTTCCCAACCGACCTGACCTGGTCGGGTTACCTGAGGTGGAAACCGAAACCGACCCACTGATAGGCCAAACCGACTTGGTTGGTTTGAGTCGGGTTGGGTCAGTTTGGGTCGGTTTCGGTTTTGCTCCTGTACAAAAGGGCACTTAATTGAATTCTAATTGTAATTGTCTAATGGGTTGCCTATTTGATGTAAAATGTTATAGAAAGTTAGAAATTATGATAGATTGTCTATTCTAATTGTAATTGCCTAATGGGTCTTCTAGTTCTAGTAGAAGACTAG